TTTACACCGTGGTCACTCGTAACCAACATCTTGGTTGGCTAGATTTCCTCTAACTTCAACCCCGCTCGCTTTTACTTCGTTCATATATTCTTACGTCCATGTCAGAAACCAATTTCAATTTTATACTAGAATGTTCACTTACCGTTCGGCGAGTGTTGCCAGGCGAGATGAGGTCCTCTCTCTACACAGTAAGCGCTCCTGCGCACAGCAGGAGTTGCGCTTTACAATTGAGCGGCAGTCGGCACAACGAACAATGTACTTTCTGGAATGATCCAAAAACAAGAAATTATTGGCAGATTTCAACATATATATAACAGCGCTCGGAATTAGTTGCACATTTCGGGCCGATTCAGGAGACGACGCCTCCTGTTCCTTCACTACCGCCCGGCCGCTGGCGGCTGAGCCGCTGATAGCTCTGGCTCAGGAGCGTTTTATATTAGAAATAGGCTGGATTGTTTAGGCATCTCTCAGAAAATCGTAACATTTTCTTTACTACATAAATAATGTTTATTTTCATTAATACATAATATATTGTAGAAGTATAAAGTCTAGTAAGGTTTGTTTCGATATTTGGTAGGCGATCGAATTAAATAGGAAAGTAGTAGAGCTATCGTGGCGGCAGAAAGCTAAGTGCTGGATTGTGGTACGAGGGATCCCGAGTTCAAAACCCAGTCGGCTTCTTGATTTTTCGACGCCTACAATATATATATTTAATTATTAATGAAAATAAACATTATTTATGTGGCAAAGAAAATATTACTATTTTCTGAGAGGTGCCTCAACAACCCAGCCTATTTCTGATATAAACGCTTCTGCGTTAGAGCTATCGGCGGCTCGGCTGCCGGCGGCCGAGCGGTAGTGGGTGAACAGGAGGCGTTGTCGCCTGAATCGGCCCGAAATGTGCAATTCTAAGCTAATTCCGAGCGCTGATATATAATATTTATTAACGTATATCCAATCTTGTCAGTACAGTATGGATACGGTACGGATATGTATAAACGGGCCTTAAATGGGCTTTTATGAATGTTTGAAGATAATGCAACTTTTCGACGATAAGACTATGCACTTCCGAAAGGGTTTTTCTCAAAAACCTGACGTGATGGACATTTTTTGCTGACGGATTCAAATTCAGCAACCAAAATTACGTAGAAAATCACTATTCTGCTTTTTGTATCTGAACTTAGCATGTCTATGTTATTTGCCAATTTGATGTATTTAGCACGTGCAAAAAATTAAATATAAATTTATAAAATTAAAATAATTACATTACTAATTATTGTTTAGTCGTTATATTCATTTTTATTCATTATTACTAACACGTTATGTGCCACGTAAATCGTTCATTTAATATGCGTTCCATGAATGCGTTCGGGTTATAAATACATGTTTCAAATCACAAATTTTTATTTAATTATTAATATAATGGAATAGAAACGTTCTCACTTACCACTTCACCAACAAAATATTCTTGTAAAAATTTTCACTTGCAAAGAAAGCCACTGGCGTTACTGGCGGCGTCAGAGTAGTGATGTCGAGACAGTATGGTAGACAGTATGGCTTCTCAGAGTAAAAAGAAACAGGAAAGAGCATACACTAGTAGGACTGGGCAAATCCGCGGACGGATGTACGTCATGGCAGCCATCTTGAGCGACCACTATTTGAAAGTGAGAAGGAATATTCGAGCATAGCGACAAGCGGCATACCGTACGCCGTACGCATTAATATGCAGTGTTATAGGACGGTATTCATAGTCATTTCTTATATTTAAGATAGAGACCCTAAAAAGAGAGACTCGCCAACTCGTCACGTGACTGTTAGTGGACTCTGATTGGCTGGTGTATGGATCGCACATTTGTGCCCCGTGTGCACCATAAGGTTGTGTTCCGAAATTCACTACCAATACTGAAAATCTATAGTTTACGTTATGTATATTGTAGATTTTCAGTACTGGCAGTGAATTTCGGAACGCAGCCTAAAGCTACACTGAACTACACTATAGGTTTGTTCTTTATA